GTATATTGGGTTGAATTTATAATTCTTACCTTAGGCAACATATAAATAGGAATATATGTTGCCTAAGTAAACTTTGTTGGATTTATGTTTTTTACCTTATACAACATAGTATATGAATATATGTTGACTAAGTAAATTTTGACGGATTTCAAAAAAAATATGAGTGTCCAACATTGAACTAAGGCAACGTAGGCTAATATGTTGCCTAGGATACAAGCAGGCAACATTGAATTATTTATATGTTGCGTAAGGTCACACTTAGGCAACATAGAACCCTATGTTGCATTAGAGGAAACTTAGGCAACATATAATAGCCTTTGTTGTCTTAGTGTATCTTAAGCAACATAGGCAATTTACATTTGTTGTCTAAGACAACATTTGGTGTAGTGTCAATTCGGTATATTATTAGGTGTAAAGCCGAATATTACCTTTTATAATGAAAAATCCAATAAAATTGTGACATGGAACGTGACTATAGTAGAAAATTATCAAAATATGTTTTAGTTCAAAAAGATGAGAAATTATCATTTTTTTTCCTTCTATGAATATCCCGAGTCCTCAAAAAATGTAATAGAAGATAAATAATTAACTGTTTACAAAAATAATCTGCAATCTTCAAAATGAAAATAACAAAATTACCAATCTAAGATGTGTAGATCGACTTCAAAGTCCATATTGTGTGGAAAATTGAGGGAGTAATTCAAAATGAAAACATACCATTTCCACGTTTTGTATATCCAGTCTCATGAAGATATGGAAGCATCTAATTAGTTTTCTCGAAACTTCAGAGATGAATGAAACACACCAACAATTGATTTTGCCATAGACTTTTCTTGTTCTTCCTTATATGGTTTCTCTAATCTACTTCAGTTTGCTTCTAATCGCAGACAACAGAGTGGATAGAGAGATCGAGAAAACAGAAATAAAATACCTATAATTATTGTTTCATATCTTACTATAGATGCATAGAAAGATAGAGGGAGGCGTACCGCCAACTCTACTATTAATCCATAATTTCTTATCGGGATCGAGAGATGGAGAAGAGCAAAGAAGTTTTTGATAGAAAGATGCAGATGAGAAGGAATTGTAACGGTAGAAGATGAAGGGTAAATAAGTTTATGATAGAAAGACGTAAAAGAGAAGAAATTGTAACGGTAGAAGATGAAGAGTAAAAGTTTTAAATTAAATATAAAACCTAAAATAAAAGGAAAAAAGATGCAATGAATACTAGTATAAGGAGATGTCATGTCAATATTGTATGTTTCTTCTTTATAGATAACGATTTAAAGGTTTATTTGATTATTATATGTAACTTATATATATATATATATATATATATATATATATAAAGTAAATGAAAGGTTTATTCATTTAATGATATGTTTTTATTTAAATATAATTCAAAATTTAGAAAAAATAACAACTAATGATTCTAGCTTTCTTAAGATGTCACAATATCTTTTGATGATTCTTCTTTATATATAGATATGGTGTATGATGTATGGAGGTTGTCTAACTCAAAGTTCGACCACATAACACGTGGTTATGCCAAAATCAATGTACATAAAAAGAGCACTAAGGAGCAGTCATCCAATTTGCTACAACTGATAACGATGGTTATCAACATCTTAAACCCACACTACACCAAATGTTGTCTTAGACAACAAATGTAAATTGCCTATGTTGCTTAAGATACACTAAGACAACAAAGGCTATTATATGTTGCCTAAGTTTCCTCTAATGCAACATAGGGTTCTATGTTGCCTAAGTGTGACCTTACGCAACATATAAATAATTCAATGTTGCCTGCTTGTATCCTAGGCAACATATTAGCCTACGTTGCCTTAGTTCAATGTTGGACACTCATATTTTTTTTGAAATCCGTCAAAATTTACTTAGTCAACATATATTCATATACTATGTTGTATAAGGTAAAAAACATAAATCCAACAAAGTTTACTTAGGCAACATATATTCCTATTTATATGTTGCCTAAGGTAAGAATTATAAATTCAACCCAATATACTTAGGCAACATATATTCTTGTTTCTATGTTGCCTAAGCTTAAAAACATAATAACTACCGATAGTTGAAGATTTTAAGATTGACATAAGTTTTAAGGTAGACAACTGACATTGTACGATAAATCCATCACATTTACTTAGGTAACGTAACCTTTTGTGTGGAACGTATTGGATTTTAACGAATGTTAGTTGCGCTTTAACGGTTTTATTGGGCTTTACTGGATCATATTGAGCTTTAATTAATGAATCGTATTGGTCTTGAATTGAACATATTGGACTTTAATGGAACGTATTGGGCTTTAATGGAATGTATWGGGCTTTAGTGGAACGTATTGGGCTTTAATGGATCGTATTGGTCTTTAATGAACCGTATTGAGCTTTCATGAACCGTATTGGGCCTTAATGGATCGTATTGGACTTTGGTGATACGTATTTGGCTTTAGGGTGAATATGTTACATTGGGTTTTAATTTGCTGTATTACAAATGGTATTTAGAAAGAGAGAGTTCCATTTTCACAAATTTTTATGTTATACATCTCGTACTTAAGTACCTTTGGTTGGATATGAATCCATCTAAAACACTAAGATATGGCCATTTGATTCTTTGATACATTATTATATATCTTTTAAGATATAGAAGATGGTCTTCACACGTTAGCTCAAATTGAAGTTTGTGGATAGTTTGTAAAGCCCAAGAGGAAGTGCTGGAGAATTCTATTTACATCAATCTTTTGTGTGTGTATCAGTGTGTGTATATATATATATATATATATATATATCTAATAAAACGTCAAGGTTGATATTTCTTTTTCACTTTTAGAATGATTAGTATATTGGTAATAATCCTTACTTAGGTGGTTGGAATTTGTGTTTTAGATAATTCTTGGTCAAATCGAGCCATTAACATAGCAACAACTGATGGCAATATGTGAAGTGCAACAAGCCACACAAGAGGCTAAAGAAGCACTGATGCAAGGGCTGGAGGCACTGAATCAGTCTTTATCTGATACCATTGCTTCCGATGCTTTAAGCTCCCCTACAAACATGCTAACTACATGGGTCAGATGGCTGCAGCCATGAACAAACTCTCCACCGTTGAAAGTTTCTGCGATACAGGTATGTTCTCAATTTCTTTTCTGGGCTAATATACACAATGATTCATGATGATATAACTTACATGTATAGAATATATATATATGTGTGTGTGTGTGTGAGTGTATGTGTATGTGTATTTTTTATATCTATCCATATATGTTACTTGCATACTGGGTCCATAGGATGAGAACCTTTCCTTACCATTGATAACATATTAATGATGTCAATGGGGAAATGCCGTAAAACACTACGTACCAAGGTTTAAAACAAATTGTTCTATAGTATTGTTCTGTTTCTATTTGGTATTCAATAGTATTATTCTTAAACATGTTAGACATTGTTTTTTGTAGATCCATATRCCTCCAAAAAGAACTCAAGCGTTTAATTTAGCGAAGGCATCGGTCTTGGGGCGGATTACGGCACACCTAGAGGGTGATTCGGTAGAGATCTCGTTAGAGACGACACCTTCCGTCTTTGGACTCACCAACTACATCGGCGTCATCAAAGACGAGTACACCAATTAATGGGCCATTTGCTCTAGATATACGTATCAATTGTCGCCGCATCCAACTGGCCGAGCGTGACGAGAAGATTCGCTTGTTAAAAGAGGGACAACATGAGGCAAAAAAGGAAGCTGCCGAGCAAAAAAAGATGATACAATCGTTGATGATTATGCTGGATGCTAGTGATTCAAACTCTAACACAACAACCCCGACCTCTCACGCTTTAGGTTATGTTTTTAATTTTGTGTTATTGAACTTGTTGCCTACTTTTAGACTTATTTAGGATAAAATTATCTTTCAATTATTAAACTTATTAATTTTGTTTGGTTATAAAAGTTATTTGTATAAAACATTTGGTTGTTTGTTTGCTTGTTTGAGATTCATTTGTAGAAAGTGTGCAARAAAAAAATATTGCATCATGGTACACAAAAATCTTAGGCAACAATTAAACAATATAAATGTTGCCTAAAATAAATATTATATTATGTTAATTACAGTTCAAAGGCAACATATATAAATAGAGTATGTTGTCTAAGTTGATATCTTAGGCAACATATTCAGATAAAGTATGTTGTCTAAGCTGATATTTAAGGCAACATATGAAGATAGAGTATGTTGTTTAAGATGATACTGGACGCAACATATGTTTTTTACTTAGGCAACATAACCTTTTGTGTGTTGCCTAAGAATCTCGCTTAGGCAACATATTCTGTTTACATATGTTGCCTTGGTTCTTATGCAACATTGAGAAGGCAACACTGCTTAGGCAACATGGGTTTGTTGTCTAAACCTTACGCAACATATAAACTCCTCTTAGGCAACATTTTTCATTTGTTGCCTAAGTGACATTTTGAGGTAGTGTGATATATGTTATTTATAAATTATATTTTTATTTTCACAAGAAATGTATTACACTTCTCTTTATTCTTATAATAATAAGACAACCAAAACCAAGAAATTAGATATATACATCTATAGAATATATTATATGTCATTTCACAATTTAACTTTTTTTACGCTACATATTCATTTTTCTGCAACCAATATATTTTAACTCTCTTTATTCTAACATAATAAAACATTCAAAAATAAAATTGTACCATAATTATTATAATACATTTTAACATTTTATATCGAATTCAATCTTATATATTCATTTTTCTACAACCAATTAATGTATTTTAATTCTCTTTATTCTAACAAATTAAAGAAAACATTCAGAAATAAAATTGTAACACAATTATTGTGATACCTTATAACACTTTATATCGAATTCAAACTTATCGATGATTTCTTTCATCAATCAACAACGAACGCACAAAGCGTGGTAAAGTTACCTAGTTCATCATATAATATAACCACTTAAATTTTAGTCAAAAGAGTGAAACTTTTGATATGCTTAAACTGCTTTGATACAAATTCTATATGCTATATTATCCAATCATTAAATGCAGAAAGTTGAGTTCAGTTTTGTTATATGTAGGAATTATATAGCAGATTGGGGTTCAGATTCTTTACTTTGTTTCAGTCGCACTTCCATTAACTTCTTCAACAAAAGCCTTGAGATTCATATTTGAAGATCCACTTTCCTTCATAGCCTCTCTTGCCAAATCTTTCCACTTCTTAACATTCTTTCTCATTTCTGCTCCTGTTTCTTCAGCTCCCATCACCATCTCTATGCACCTTCTAATCTCATCGCCTTCAACAACTCCCTCTTCATTAGCCGCCACCCTCACTCCTGTTCTCCACTCGTCTTCCAAGAGCTTTGCATTTGTTGTCTGATCCGTCCAGTGAGGAAATGCCACCACTGGTACCCCACAAACTATACTCTCCAACGTTGAATTCCACCCACAATGTGTCACGAAACAGCCTAAAGATGGATGTGATAGCACCTCTAGTTGACTGCACCATGGCACTATCAACCCCAATTCTTCCAATTCCTCTTTGCAACTCAGTTCCTCATCTTCTTCTTCTTCAGCCTCATTGCCTGTTTTCCGGTTGCCATCTTTATTTCTCACCACCCACAAAAACGGCCTCCTGCTTGCTAACAAACCGTGTGCCATTGCCTCCTTTTGTTTCTTTGACAACATTATGATGCTACCAAAAGATACGTAAACGATGGACCCTTCTGGCTTTGCGTTCATCCATTCCACACATACTTTTGATGTTTCATAGAGATCTCCCCCAAAAGATGTGTCAGATGGATCCTTTCCATCCAAGAAAGCGGATGGAATCAACGGCCCTACAGCGATCAGGTTCAGCCTGCCATCAATCTCTTTCAGGGCCTCTTTTTCCAATGCATCGAAGCTATTTACGAGTATTTTAGGCTTGTTTTCTGAATCCAGAACAGCTAGCTGTTCTTTGAATAAAGGCGTAACAAAATTGTAAATGTTTGAAGGGAGGCAAAAGGATGGGAGATCGCAGCTTTTGAGCAACGGTAACCCTGGTAACTTGATCGACCATGAAGGTTCATTGCAATCTTCTCCAATGAGTTTATCGTACCCATTGAAGTAATAGTAGTAGATACGAAATACCGATGCTGGTTGAATCCATAGAAGCGCGGATGGCACGTTAAGGCCACACGCCACCCCTGCCGCCCATGGGAGGAGGAGGGTGTAAGCCAAACAAGTGACTGGTGTGCCATCTGCAGCGCATGAAAGAATGGTTTCTTTCAAGCTCTGTGATCCCAGAGTCTTCAACTGATTCATGTAAAAAGTGGTATCTCCGACACTGTAGCCGTCATCAAACCCATCAGAGAAAACCGCAAAGTTCAAAAACTCTGGAATCTGGCCAGCTTTGCTCATGCGGCGATAGGCGGAGACGCAGGTGGACAAGGTAACTTTGACGCCTAGCCGGAGGAGTCGTTTTGCGAACTGAAGAGCGGGGTTAATGTGACCTTGGGCTGGAAAGGTTAGCAAGAGGAAGTGAGGTTGAGGTTGAACCATAACCTTTGTCATTATGGGTGAGCCAGTGATGGGTTCGTATCGTAGGTTGTAGCGAGTCTGTGAGTGTGGTTTAATGGTAAGAAATGATATGGATTTATATGGTGGGAGTGTTTGGGGAGCACACTGACGTTTGTGGTGACGAACGATAGAAAGATAGAATATTATGAGTGGTGGTTGTTACGTAGCAATCCAAAATGCATGTTATGTTAGAGAACCCTCAAAAGTTTTTTGCAGAGCTTTTTGGCCATATGTGTAAAAGCTTTCGTGATAAACTATTTTGTTACTCGTAAAGTTACATCTTTTTTTTTAACGAAAAAAAGGGTGGTGTCTGATCGGTTTGAGCTTGATCCAAATGTCAAAAGTGTTTGGAGGTCCTAGGTTCAAATCCAAGAAGGAATAAAAATCCCCTTCTAATCACAGAGGTTCAAATGCGGTGACTTCATACTACCCCAAAGCAGGTAGTTGTCCTGAAATTAGTCGGCTCGCATAACGGCTTAGATATTCAGGTTAATAAAAAAAAGTTATATCTTTTCAATAAATATGTTTTTTCAAGGTTTTAAATGACATGATCAGGCGTGGCATCATGACGAGGTCAAGCCTCACTACTAGAAAACCAGGTATCAGCGACGAATATCAGCGAGGGAAAATTTCCCTCGCAGATCAGCGAGGGATCAGCGAGGGAAATGCCAAAAAACTCATTCTCTCGCTGATCCCTCGTTGATCTGCGAGGGAAAAATTCTCTCGCTGATCCCTCGCAGATCAGCGAGGGAAATGCCAAAAAAACTCATTCCCTCGCTGATCCCTCGCTGATCTCCGAGGGAAATATTCTCTCGCTGATCCCTCGCAGATCAGCGAGGGATCAGCGAGGGAAATGTCAAAAAAACTCATTCCCTTGCCGATCCCTCGCTGATTTGCGAGAGATCAGCGAGGGAAGATTCTCTCACAGATCAACGAGGGAATTGGCAAAAATCAGATTTCCTCGCTGATCCCTCGCAGGGAATTGTCAAAAATCAGATTCCCTCACTGATCTGCGAGGGATCAGCGAGGGATTTTCCTATTTTCTTGATTTTCTTCATTTTTTTGTGTTATATGTAGATATTATTATGTGTTGGTGTCGTATGTATACATGTATATGTGTTGTTTGTATATATATATATATATAYATATATATATATATATATATATATATATTGTGGTTGGTAACCGCGATTTGTATTGTATGTACACATGTATTTATTCGGTTTTATTGGGCCTTAAGGGACTTTATTCGGTTTTATCGGGCCTTAATGACTTTATTCGGTTTTATTGGGCCTTAAGGAACTTTATTCGGTTTTATTGGGCCTTAAGAGACTTTATTCCGTTTTATTAGGCCTTAATCCATCTATCGGGCCTTAATGCCTTTATTCGGTTTTATGTGATATATGTACATATTATTATGTGTTGGTGTCCTATTTATACATGTATATGTGTTGTTTGTATATATATATATATATATATATATATATATATGTTGTGGTCGCTAACCGCGATGTGTATTATATGTACGCATGTGTGTGTGTGTGTGTATATATATATATATATATATATGTTTACACGATGTTGTAATTGTTATATGTATACATACGCTACCTAAATATAAAAATGTGTACATGTAACACATAAAAATCAAGAAAATAGGAAAATCTCTCGTTGATCCCTCGCAGATCAGCGAGGGATCAGCGGGGGAAATGGCAAAAATCAGATGACATTGTAGGGGTAGCAATTCTGCCCGCGCCGATAACATTGTAGAGTTTTCGGACACCGCTTTACGCGGTTTAGATGAGCAAGAGGTGGCCATGGAGCCCCCAGCTTCGACAGGTTTAGGGGCGGGGAGAGGCCCCAACATGGAGATGCCGACACCGAGTCATCTGAGCCACCGAAGACATCTGTCTTTGTTAGGCCATGGGTAAGTAGATGTGTATAAGACTTTGTATTACATAATAAAATAATATGAATATCTTTGTATTGTAAATATTTTTTTAATTGTACAGGTTTAAAGATGCCCATGTTGTCCGAGAGATGACTACTATCTTCAGGTCTTCCTTTGCTGGTCCGTGGCATAGATGGAAGGAAGTACCTCAGGAAGCACGCGACTTGATGTTCCAGCGCTTTAGGGTTGGGGTACCATTTTAATGTAATTATACATACAATGTTATTGTTTTTACATTTATACAAACATTGTGTATGTAGGCTAAGTTTCAGTGGGAACCTGAGCTGGATGACACGGTTCATGATTTATGGACCAAATCCATGCACAACAGGTACTCTCACTAGATGAGCTCTGCACGTGATTGGGTCGTGGTACAGGCCTATTCTGGTGATCAACAATGGGATGGTGAGGACTTCTCACGGATTAGATTACACCATCCCGTATGGATACCAGACAGTTTTTGGCTACAGATGATTGATACGGTATGCATCTCTATTGTGAGCTTTTCGAACTGCCATGTGTACCAACTTAATTTTTATATATGTGCTCTGTTTTTAACAGGTTTGGGATACCGAGGCTTGGAAAAGGAAATCCAGGATCAATCATCGGAACACCCAGTTTGAGGGGGTGTCGTCCAGACACACTGGTGGATCGATTAGTACGGCACAACATCGAGATAGGATGGTGAGTATCTAATCTTTTTTGAAACTGTAATTCGTTCTTTATGTTAGTAACAACTTAACCTAATTGTCTAATGTAGGCACAAGTAATGGGTCGTGAGCCTACTGCTACTGAGGTGTTTGAGCGCACTCACTGCACGAACCGGAAGTTCGATCAAGGTTCGTCCGACCCGCCTATCGATCCTCCTCAGTTCAGTTACCCGAAAGCTGCTAGGTTTCATGTAAGTTTTCTAAAACCATTACTTTGGTTAATAGATACGTTTGGTAGGTTTAAGGTAATATATTTCAATAAACATAGTGATGCTATTAGTTTGGGCTGCCATTGTTGGGCAGACGTTAGGCTAAGTAAGTAAGTTGATAATGTGACTTCGAACATTGATATTATTAGAATGCTTAGTTGTTACATACATGCATTGGTTATGTTTGATTTACAGTCGTTATGCTGCTGAAATATCTACATACATAACCTCACCCGTTTTTGTTTTGGTGAACCATAGGAGCGATTTCAATCGCTTAGGGGTGAGTCACAATCTAGTACCAACAGYCCTCTCCCTGATGAGGCATCTCTTTGGGAACAAAGTGTCGGAGGACGGAGGAAAGGCCGAATATTTGGTTTCGGGACCACTCAGGATCCCTCTTATGCTATGACGGGTAGATGTAGCAGTAGCAGGTCACCATACGAGTCAAGAGCGGAGGTACGTTGGTTATATTGTTATAAACTTTCTCATTGCTAAAATTGGGAAGAAATTACTGATTTTGTCGAATATTTAATATTTACAGGTAGYGGAGTTGAGAGAGAAGTTGGCAAGGGTAGAGGAGGAGGCAGAGTTACGGGAGGAACGTCATCTGGCCGAAATGGAGGACGAACGGAGGAAGAGGGCAAATTTGGAGGCCGAACAGGCCAGACAAGCTGCTGCATTAGCCCAACAGGCCGCATTATCGGAACATTTTGCTGCGTTTATGCGGCAGTCAGGATACGCTTTCCCACCTCCCCCACCTCCCGATAGTTAGATTTTATGTATTCGAAGATTAAATTGTATGAATTGAATATTTTAAATTGTATGAATCCATATTTTAAATCATATGAATTGATTACTTTGTTCATAGATTTGGTTTGTTATATATTATTATTTTCAGATTTTTATAAATAAATACAGGATTTATGCATTTTTAAAAATTTTATTTCTTATTTTTTTTACAAATTAGCGACGGATTAGCGAGGGAAAATCCGTCGCTGAAAGTGCTTGAAATTCCCTCGCAGATCCGTCGCTGAAAGTTCCCT